CAGATACAGGAGGGGTAAATGGGGTATTTGAGGTAGAAGTCAGACTTGGGGAGACTAGGGAGTATTTGGTAATGAGGTGTTTAAGATTTTGGATTTCCTTGAATAAAGGGGAATTAAGAGAGTGAGTGTCAGACTCAGGATGCTGAGGAAGGGAGGGGGAAGATTGCAGAGAGGGAGTGTGAGGCAGAGAAGGGAGGGGAGTTGGGCTGGCCCCTGGCCTGGAAGGCAAGGGAGGGTATAGTGATGGGAGGGATTAGCACAGAAGTCAAGAAAGGCGTGGATGTAGGGTAGTTCAGACTGCTTGCCGTTATGCTGGCAGAAGTTTTCCAAATCTTTTAAAATATTGAGGTTTAAAGTTCCAGTGTTTGGCCAAACAGAGTTATTATTTAGTTTGTACTGAGGCCAGAAAGTGGTGCACAAGAATTTTAGGCATTTTGATCTGAAAGCGAAAGAAGAGTTCAAGACCTCAGCCGGTGGGTGGGGGAACAAAAAGGAAGATTACAGGGGAGAGAGAGAGAGAGAGAGAAAGCAGGAAGAGAAAGGTTTGGCTTAGGTCACGTAAAAACGAGAACGAGAAGAATCAGGCAACAAAAGAAAAGCATCCTTTTTTCTATTGCTGATTCGTGTTAAATTCCCGAACCCTAGGGCAGCGTCCTGCAATCACTGGGGGGGTGGAATACGAGTTGTGCGTGTCCCCATCAGTTACCACAGCATCCTGTAGTCAAAGGCAGGGCGGAACCTCCCACACACCAGTGTGATTTCGAGAGAGTAAAAATGAGTTAGGAGAGGTTCTGCAATGTGGTGCGTGACCAGCCAGTAGGAGCCAAAGTAGAAGGAAACAAGGTAGTGGGCCTGGAGGCCGAGATGGGCTGGGGAATGGAGAAGAATGGAGAGACCTAGATGAAGCTCAGAGTAGCCAGTGAATGGAGGGAGAGGAGAGAGAGAGATGGGGAGAGAGAGAGAGAGAGAGAGAGAGAGAGAGAAGATGAGATGTTAGGGGAAAGCAAAAGATGGCAGGAGCGAGGAAGGGAAGGGAGCTGAGGTAGGGAAAAGGATTTGGCAGGTCTGACTCCCAGGTGGGTGTGGACAGGCACAGTAACTGTGCTGGGCAGTTCAACGGTCGCAGAAACCAGTGCTGTCCAGTGGCCGTGAGTGAGGTCCAGGAGTGACCGAATTTGATTGGAAAGGAGATGAAAAGAAAACTGGCGGAGAGTAGTTAAGGAGAAAGGGGAGAGAGAGAGGGAGAGAGAGCTGGAAGGAACAGGAGAGGGGAGAGAGATAGAGGGTGGAAGTGTACCTTAATGCCAAATCAGTGGTGTTCGCAGAGGCCAGTAACGACAAGCGAGTCCGAAAGTTTTACATGCGAGGTCCCTTGAAGTAAGAGCCGGGTTTTGGCACCATCTGATAGGTAGAGAGTGGGAGAGAGCATGCATGCGGTGGAGAGCACGAGCAGATGGATGAGGCACCGATGGAATTCTCAGCGGGATACAGCTTTATTTTGCACGGGGCACCTTTCCCTCGGGGAAGGGAAAGATGTCAGCGAAGGGAAAGATGTGGGAAGGGAAGGGAAGGGAAGGATGTCAGGGAAGGGAAGGATGTCAGGGAAGGGAAAGATGCCAGGGAAAGATGTCCGCCCACGGGTTGTGAGCTGGGACTTTATATATGGGGGCTTTAGGGTATGGAAGGGGGGAATGTTTGGGGGAGAAATCAGGGAGGGGGAAGCAGGAAAAGCCTGGCTCCGTTCAGTCTGCCAGGTGGGATTAGGGTCTAGAAGTGTTTGCTTTTTCTCTCTTAAGAGAAAAACTTGTGACAAACAGCTTCTAAAATCTCTGGTTAACAGGTAGAATCTGCTTGTCTTATCTTTGGAGATCAGAGGAGAGGCAGGCTGCTTCTCAGCAGAGTTTTTTTCCCTTGACTCCAATGGTCAAGGTGAAGTCCCTGTTGGGGAGGGGGGAAACTGCTGCTGTTTGGAACCCTAACATATGTAGCTCAAGCTTGCTGAAAACTTGGAATGCTGCTAAGGAAAACTTTGAAGTTCTTATCCTCCTGTCTCTGCCTCCACCTCCCAAGTACTGCACCACCATGTCCAATTTAAGTTCTGGGTTTCTGACACAAGGATGTATTAGAAGATTCGCAGAGAATATGCTATGAAAATAATTTGGGTATAGATTATAGAAGACTTCAAATGCTAGTCTGAATGGCTGACTTGACTTTGGAGGCAAAATCAGTCCCTCATAATTCTTAGGAAGGAGAAGAAAGCAGACCTAGACTATGGAGGCGGAATCAGGGTTAATGAGGCCTTGAGGACACCCACCTGAAGTAGGATGACCCTATTTTGAATAGCAGCGGGCTGAAAATTAATCAGTAAAAGCATTTTCCAAGTAGCTGAACTCCAGGCGTTGACCAAGGGTATACTTAATGGTCTCAAAACCCATGGTAATTTGTGGAGAGAAGGGCAAGCACAGGGCACAGGGTCTTAGAAAAACCCTTTGAGTATGAATCCTTTATCATCTAAAAAAAATGTTCACATTTGTGTCAATTTCTGCCTTGGCCTTTTTTTTTCAAACACATAGACACTTAGCCTTCATGTAGTTCCTGCGCATCTTCAGTGGTCGCAGTGCCATACCATCTGCAGGCATCTGTCTTGTGGAACTGCCCTTGTATGTATGGTATGCCACTGCCTGGAAGTTTTTAACAATACTCTTCTGCTTTTACTTTTGTTAAAATATTTACATTCCTTGACTGACATGATGACACTGTCACACAAGATGTAGCAGCTACTCTCCTCTTTTAATATTGTTTTGTGTGTGTTTTACTTCTTATAAATGACATGCATTTTCACACTATGTTTGTTCTCACTGGGCATTACATTCTTGAGATAGTTTCTGTTGTAGATCATACACAGCCTTACTGTGTGGGTATACTGTCATTTACTTATCCATTGTGGTGACAATGAATGTATTTTGCTATTACAGCAGGGCTCATGTAAATATTCTTGTATTTTCTTGTACACATTTGTAAAAATTCCTCCTTATCAGGATTCTGAAATTTGACCATGCATCAAATTGCTAGGAAGGCTTTTTAAAACCCCAGTTGCTTCTGATATATGTCTGAGATGGGTACCAGTTTGCATTTCTAACAAGACCCCAGGGGCTAGTGATCCATTGATGTGAGAACTTTGAGAGATTATATATATAGTATATAGGATAACTTAGAATTTATTGCTGGAGTGAAGTAGATGTAACTTTTCTCTTTTAGTTGGCAATGCCAGATTATTTTTCCTTTAAGCAGTGTAAAACAGAACTCCCAGACTTGAGTTTTCTAGTCTGGTGGGTTAAAGTTATGGTCTCTTTATTACTTGCTAGAATAGGGAATTTTATATACCTGTTTTTTGTGTTAAAATGTGCCTGCTTTAAAAAAAGGATGTTATTCAGGACACAAGCTACACATACATACACACACATACACACACACA